ATGAACATGTGCCTTTATCATGACTATTATTTCTGAGCTACAATGCATTTTGCAAGGTTGTATATATGGATGAGCCTAGTACTGGACTGGATCCTGCTTCAAGGAACAGTTTGTGGAATGTGGTCAAACGTGCAAAGCAAGATAGAGCAATAATTTTAACAAGTAATATTATTGTCCATATGAACCATTATTTGCATTCCATCACCCACCACCAATCTAGTACAGGCAACTGCTTGGCATGAATGATCCTTGATGCAGTGCACCTTTAATACACATTGCATACTGCCTAACAATTTCAAACACCACATGCTTATTTTTTATCTTTTAATTAAATGATCTTTTTTAGCGCACTCAATGGAAGAGGCAGAGCATTTATGTGACAGGTTAGGTATCTTTGTGGATGGAAGCTTGCAATGCCTAGGAAATCCCAAGGAGGTAAATTGATGCTTCAATTGCATTTTCAATATTTGAATGTAAATGGTGGAGACATATGAGGGCAGAGTTTCCGTTCTCCATTATCTTTGATTCTTTATTAGTTGCCCCTGGGTTGAGAGTTGTACCATTTTTATGTATCTATTTGTCTGCTGCCATTTTCAATTTTTGTTTTCTAAATTGAAACATACTGACCAATCCCAATTTTCAAAATCATTCTCTAACCCCAAGAATAAAAAACATGTCCCATTGTACATCAGCACAAAATTACCGTGACAAACTAGGTTAGCATCAGGTGAGGCTTAACTTATGGAACATGTTTACTTACATAGCTAAACTTTGTCCATGCCTGGATGATACAATTTGTCCCTTAAAAAGCTAAACTTCATCCAAGTCAGGACCACACCATTTTCCAAGTCATCCTCATTGAAGCTAAGTAAGAGCCTTATTTATTGACGACGAACACTCTTCTCCTTGAATGCGGAATAAGAAGGAAAATAAGTCGTCTGGAGGTGGCTTTGGTGGTGATTGGTCCCTATTTATAAGGCTTCGTTTTATTAAAAATTGGGGGAAATAGAGAAGATTTTAACTTTTATTTTTTACCTCGTAATTGAAACTATAGAAATAAACATGCATCTTTTAAACATTCGATCCTCTAGTTTTTCATATTTTCTCTAAAATATTGAAGATTTGAAGTCTTCAATGTTTCCCTTGATTTTAAGCTAAAGTTCCCCTTTCTAAAAGATATCTTAACATTTAGCTAGAAAACTAGCAGAACTGCGCTAGCCATTTATTTTTCAGGATTGCATACTTCCTGAGATTCATTATTCTATTGTTTGCATGTAATAATTTGCCTGAGAACACTGCTTTGTGTTATTTATTTTGTTTGTGTCATTAACAGTTGAAGGCAAGGTATGGGGGCTCGTATGTATTCACCATGACAACATCTTCAGATCACGATGCAGAGGTGGAGAGCATGGTGCTCAATATCTCCCCAAATGCGTGCAAGATTTACCACATTTCGGGCACACAGAAGTTTGAGCTGCCGAAGCATGAGATAAGCATTGCAGATGTCTTCCAAGCTGTCCAGAATGCAAAGAGAAGATTTAGTGTTCATGCATGGGGCCTAGCAGATACTACCTTAGAGGATGTGTTTATAAAGGTTGCAAGAGGGGCTCAGTCATCCATTAGCCTCTCATGATATATCTTCCACCACAGCAACACACCACTCTATTTGTCACTTGGCATATCTTGGTTGGGAAGAAGAGTTCATGAATGAGCCGGGTTCACATGGTTCTATGCTTTAAACGTCTGTACCTTTCTAGATGGTACGACACCTTATTATGCCTGAACGCTAATATGAACCCGACTAACGCAAAAATTGCTAACATTTGATATATTTTATGCATATGGTACTATATAATTATGTGATATATGTATAGCAAACCATGCAATGTGAATCACAGTGGCCTGGGTGTTGTGCTAGTTAAGATTGTACTGTTACTTAGCAAGTTCCCAATATTGAATGAATCTTACATCTTTGTTGGTTAAAATACTAAATATTTTTATTATGTTTATGCTAAGTTAATTGTATTACCTCACTTCCTTTGTCCTTAAAAAATGACGAATTATGTTACCCCATATACATTTAATTGTACCTCACTTGTTTTTTTATATCCTTTCTGTACCAATTTAAGTTGCTCGTTGTTATTTATGTTTATTCGATTCAATTATGTTCAATTCAACTTATTTGAAAATTAATGTAAATTAAAAATAAATAAATTTATATATTTAAAAAATTACATCAAAAGCTTTACCAGCATAAGAGGTGACACAACTATTATTTTTTCGAATGAGTAAACATATTTTGTAAAGAATGTTGTTAAAATTTAACTGGGAGGGATAGTATATTATTTGGCTAATTTGTACTGTTGGTCTTTCAAACTAATGAGTTATGCATTGTTAGTCTTTTAACTTCAAAATTTACATAAATAGTTCTTCAAGTTACAGTAAGTGTTTCATTCGTGGTCCTCTTCTTTAATTTCTAACAAAGCATGAGTTAAACATTAAACCCCCTGCATTTTTGGCTATATAGCTCCGTTGGTTCTTCAACTCCATGATTTCAACTCAAAAAACTTCATAAATAATCATTCAAGTCACATTTAGTGTTACACACATGATTTCTTAACTGTGTGTGGTTAAATCTAAACTGCTGAGAATTAAATATCATTAAACTGATTGGATTCGAGTTTATTGGGCATCTCAATTAGTGGACACGTGGATTATAAAATAATCGAGACCGTACAATTTCATTATTTTAGGCACAATGACAATAGGTTAAAAAAGAGGTATTCCCTTCACGAATATGTTTTATTTGTTTAGATATTTTTTCTTTTCTAGGAACAATAATACAATCTATGATGTTTGACTCATGTTATTTTTAATTTAATTTAAATATTGACTATTGAAAACATTCTGTTTGCAATGCTAATTGTGACTTGAAGAACTATTTATATAATTTTTGCAGTTGGACTACCCGTGCATAACTCAAAGAGCTGGAGAACCAACATTGCAATTTAGTTATATTATTTTAAGTTTGAGAGGTTAATATACCAACAAGTGAAAATAGAGTTATGTCATGGACAATGGCAACAAAGATTGCCATTCCTCGGCAACACTGCAACACATAGTAATGGAATGTAGAACAACAACCACTTGAATCCCGCAACAACATGATCTAGGGAGGATGCGTGTATGCAGACCTTGTGCCTAGTAAGAGTAGAGAGCCTTTTTCAAAGAAATCCTCAGCTCAAGCAACACAAAGAAGAAGGATCCCTCACTAACCAAACACACAGAGACAAGAACTAAACTACCACTTTAGTCTAAACATCTAACCAGCAACCATAGTCCTAAATCTCTTAACGTTCTTGTCTAAAGTCATACCCCTGGTAAGAGTTAGAAGTTCTGAGTCATGCCAAAATTTAAGTTGCATGCTTACTACTGAAATGAAACTAAAGATTTACTAGTTTTGGCTTTGAGATATAATGGAAGAAAACATAATGACTCTTTAATTCAAATTATTTGTACTTCATTGGTCATGCATAAATGAGTAACAATTAATCAATGCACCTTTCGACTTTAATTTCATCATTGGTCATCATGAAAATTATTTCTATGTCTTAAACATATGATTCAGGCTGCGTAGATCCCACCTCCCTAACCCTAAATGGGCGTTTGCCTTTGAGGCAATGGGGTAATTTGTTGTTGTTGTTCACTATTTACTTAATGAACATTTTATATATCTTTTTTGGTTACACTATTGCTAAAATAATATTGTCAGCGAAGGAGCAACATTTATGAATCAAAGGAGTAGTGAAGACGATGGTGGTGACAAAAAGGGAGTGCCGGTGAAAACCTTAGGTTGGAGACTAGAGCGGCAGAGAATATGTTGGCGACATTGGTATATCATATCGGTGAAGGTGAAGACGGCAAATCCCTAGGTCAAATATATGGCGGATGCAAAGGTGGCAATAAAGATTGGGAGAGTCACTGACCAAGGTCCGGCGACACAAGTATAGCAGCGGCGGTGATGACTATGGCGATATAGGTTCAGCTTCAAAGCTGAGTACAGCTGCGGTGATCTCCATTGCAGTGTACTAAGTATTTTTTTAATGTACATTGTTTTATTTGAAATGAACACTTTATATAATTGTAATATTTATACATATTATATATATATATATATAATGTTATTTTAAAAAAATGTTATATGTTATTTTTAATATGTATACATTCATTTTCAAATTTGTGAAAATAAATATTCTATGTTCTTAAAAATGAATATTTGACTGATATAGATTTAAAATAAAAATATGCAAAATAAATATCTTGTTGCTTCAAAATGAATATTAATGAATTGTGCCTACCTCTAGGTACAATGGGTACCATATAAGAACTCTTATTATTTAAATTTTACCACTTTGTATAAAAATTATGAATCTACTTTTTTTGCCAAGAAACGTTAATATTATTGATGTAAAAAGAAGAATACAGAGTCACGTAAAAGAGCAAAAAGGATAAACATGTGTTAAAAACTGGTAAAAACGAACTATGCTAGTAAAATAGCTATACCAAACAAAATTACCAAAACTGTGAGCCCAACTGCACCATAACTGCAAGTGTGAGATCTGAATCCAAAAGTGGGGCAATATATGATGCCTGGAGCTTAAAATCACTCCCATTGTAGATGAGTCTAGAGTGTCAATTATCATGTAACACGTGTAACTCATATAGTAGAAAATCAAAATATGAGGCCTCTGAACATGGAGAAGTAGATCAAGTAAGAATCTCATATACCAAATTTTTTGACCCATGCACGATCCGTCAATACAAAGTTGCGTGCCAACCTTCAAATGCATAATGAAGACATGTAACCGTTGAATGTCTTAGTCTATGCACAAACCACCAATGTCAAGGTCCAAATACTGCATACAAACGATCTCTCATGAACTAACGGGCTAGAGTAAAAGGCAAGATTCTAGATGTATAATGGCAAATATATAGTGCGAGTCCCAAAAAGATGGATGAAATGAAGGAAAAAGCCAGGCGGCATATAGGGTGCAAAAATAGACAACTCGTCTCAACTCAGAACAAACAAGAAACCAAAAAATGGTTAAGGTAGCGCCCTCAGCCGTCGTGGCTAACAAAGATGAATTCCCTCTTGCCCAACCTTGGGGGAAAAGGTACTACTTTTGGCCAATTTCCAGCCCATATCCATGAAACCATCAACAGAAAACCAACACTATAATCCACATACGTTGGTATGAACGTACACAAAAACTGCAGGTACTGACGGGCCCCCTAATCGCGGGGACATATGTGTGCCTTTGAACCAAAGATGCGGTCGTTAAGGCACTCATTGTGCTGGTTTAATTATCCTTTACTTGTTTAGCCACCACTTCCCAGATAGGACACCACATACCACGGGTACCTACAAGTGCTAAAATCCTCATGTGCCACTTAACTGCAAACATAGTCGTTACGACACTCAAATAAGTTATAGTGCAAATATCTGTTGCCAGTTTAGCCACCACTGCCGGATAGGGCACCACATACCGCGGGTACCTACAAATGCTCAAATCCTCATGCGGAAGCACCAACAGACCCTAGAGACTGTAGGAGCGGACGAGTACCCTTTAACCATGGGTACATACGTGCACTTCTTAACCTTAGGTATTGTTATTAAGGCACTCAAATTTTTGCAACAAGAGGAGACCCTCATCCTCAGCAATATGGAACAAGGGTAAATCCTCCATAAGAAGGAAGGATGATACCTAAGAATCAAGATCTTACAGATCAAAAAATTCATGTGTCCCCTTTATCACTGCGACGATCTAATCCGCCATAAAAATTGTAGGGGCATTTTCCCTTTTGTGGTAGTCCACAATATTAACCGCTCCATAAGAATAGAGAAATCATAGTTTACAGCTAATATCGTGTAAATACCAAGGTAGGGAATCACTAAAATACGTCTAACCTCTAAGTGATGTGACTCCACATGAATACTGAAGAGAAACTATGATGTGCACCAGTGAAGGTACTTAATGAGAAAATTACGACTACAATACCCCTCATATCATGTGGTCCCACCCTTGCATAAAAGCAGAATAGTCAAAGAGAAAATTACATAGCAAATTTCGAATTATGACTGCAAATGCCCCAACGAAAGATGTCGTGGCGATGTTGATCTTGACAAAAATAGCATGCCAGCATGGTGGGAGAACACCCTAGTAGGTCATATCCTAAAAATATTCTCAAAAACTGCCTTAGCCATGTGAAATTAGATGCACGAAAGTGGGGGGAATCACCCCCAAACTCACACACTATATAGTGTGTCCAAAGCTCCCAAATGATAATGATCAGTAGCTTGTGGAGAAAGAATACTTGCATCTTATCTTCATCGTGGTGTGCCACTAGCTAAAAAGTAAACCACAAAGTCCACAGTGTGTGAAATGAACGCTAGTGGATGCGCAAAATAATTCCATATTCCGCTTTCCATGTTCCATGAGTAAAAAATATGATCCGCACTCTCACTGTCTGGCACATCACAATGTACAATGGCATTCCGACAAAAAAGTAAATCCAAAGCGACGAGCCAGAATATCATTAGTAGAGATCCTGCATTGCAGCACCCTCTAGGAGAGAAAAGACATCTTTCATGGTAAGTGTTTCTGCAATTAGTTTTTCAAAACAGCATTTCCAACCCCCTCAGGCTTGAGGAACTCCTTTGCCGAAAATCTTCCATCAATAGTCAAAGTCCAAGTAGGCACTTCCGACAAAGAGGACACAAAGGCCGGAGAGTCAAGTCTAAATAAAGCAATCAAGTCTGCTGAAAGAAAATCCTCCACCATACTCCCATTATCCCATATCTTTATTTCTTCTTTGAACAACATATAAAATCTCATCATTTCTAAAATAATTGTATTTACAAATTAATGTAAAAATAAGAAGTTTTAAAAGTACACCATTTAAAATTATATAAAAAGATTCTATAGAAATATGGATGACAAGAATATTTTATTTTATAAAATAATCAAAACATGCATTCAAAAATCAGTCCAAATGCCTTAATAATAAAAGATAAAGAAATGACCTTAGATAGGAGTAGAACATAGAGAAAGTGCTTAAATAGGAGCTCCATGTTTTTATTTCCAAAATAGGAGTTTGCACTGTGGTAATATGACACTGTATATGGAAAATTCAAAATACTTTTTAGTTATGTATATGGTCATGATTGACACTATATAGGCATTTTAACTTATATTTCGGAAATAAAAACATGGAACTCCCATTTTTGGTATATTATTAATGTTTTACTCCTACTTACGCCTTTTTCCCTAAAAGATATGGGATAGGCAATTATAGAGAATACCTTCTAGTCTATTTAGATATATTTCCATATTCTCAGTTTTGGCAAATGTTTTCTACTCAGAGCAACTCTAATGGGTTTTCTAAATCAGTAAGATACCAATTACAATTCACACATAACAACCCCTTTCCATTTTTTGAGCTCCAATGGATTTGGTAAAAAATGCCATGTTTGGAAAATACCAATTGGAGTCGCCATATTTACCAACTACATTTGGCAAACTACCCAGCAGCAAAATACTGCTTAATTTGGCCAAGTTTAGCAACTATGATTGGAGCAAGGAGAAAAATCTTTATTGGTAAAATACTATTCCCTTTGTCGGAAATAATCTTTCCATTATACTTTTTTCTCAATACTTCCAAAAATACCGTACTCATTAAATATTTTTCACTCTCTCGCCTTATCTCTTTAAATCTACCCCTGCCCCCCCCACTAACTGAATTTAGTCTCTCGCCTTATCTCTTTAAATCTAGGCTACTTTGTGTGTCCCTCCTCATTTCTTTCCCAAACCCTAGACTACTCTCCTTCCTCTCTAAGAACTCTACATCTCCACCATATATGGAATCACATGACGTCTATTACGAATCCTGTATTTTGGAGACAAGTTTCAAGATGGTAGAGGTGAGGATTGCGAGGTGATTGTTAATCTTTTGTAAAACCACAACCCGCGTAACTCAAATACATAGACTAGTAGATCGGGTTTCTATTAGATTAGCATCTAAACACATAATATTTTTAAAACAATTTTAAAACATTTAATTGAAAACAATATTTAAATATCCATCAAAGTTAACAAAATGGTGTGGAATCATAAATACTTAATTTAAACACAATTTTGGGTTCTTGCCCAAAAAATATAATAGATTCAAATGAAATATTAAATTTAATAAATTCCTCAAACATGAATTTACTCATCTCCTCATTCTCGCAGTCCTTTATGATTGTTTCCTTATTCATCATTCTTGTTACCTACCTGTAGCAAGTAAAACAATCTACATATATGCTCAACTTTCATGCTGAGTGAGAGGTTCTAACAGTAGAAGTCACACATATGATTAATTCAATATACATAATCATTCATACCATTCCATACACAAGGAATATCACATACAGCATCAAGTGATATCAACAATTCACAAATTAAACTTTCTTACATTCCAAGCTCATACCATATTCTAGGTTAAGGCCAACTCATAACTATTCATAATCTTTTCTCAAGACTTAGAGCCACTACCTACAGTCATGAGTCCAATCTAGTCTATGACTCAGAACCACTACCTACGACCATGATTCTGGTCAACTCAGTACCTACATCGTCGGTTGAGTGGAACCTCTGATCCTACAAATCAGATCCCAAATTCCATGCACGCACATCTTACTCGAATGCCACTAGACACTAAGTCCACAAGTCTCTACAACCTATCAAAAACTTAAAATCTCAATCTTCACAAGGTATTTTTAGAGTTTTTCTAAGTAACCTAGTCACTAAATCACTTTACATATTCAGGTCCATGTTAATCTGAAACTCAGTTCACTGTATTCATTTAAGGCATATTATATTCAGAATATAACAAGAGATAACTAATTCTTTACAGAATAAAAATAATGGCCTAGAATTGGGTGAAAACACTTTTCCCTTACTGACATGCCACACACAAGGTCTTGTGTTGGGAAAAATATCATAGATTTTGATGATGATGTATTTAGAATGTAATAGGGACTTTAAGTCTCCCCCAATATTCAATGTAATTTTTCTTTTTAGAAATATTGTTAAAACCAAGTTCTTGAGATTTCCAATAAGGTTGTGATATTTCTTTAAGCGTTTTGATGCCTGAAGACCTAATCAAATTCAGTGATATGGAAATTGGATATCTTGATCGGAAATGCCAGAGACAAGTAAGGATTTCTCAAGCAGATGAAAATCCTCTGATCCGGAAGACTACATAAGAACCGGATNCGGATGTCTCGCTACAACCCGCTGAAGGCTAAGTCATCCAAATCGGAAGACTAGCGCGGATCTCTTTCTCACCCGGAAGTCTGAGAATGACTCCTCCGGATTTGTCAGCTAAGAACCGGATGCCTCAGGGAAGACCGGAATTCTCAAAAAGCGGACAAGTGAGAAAAGACTTAGAAAATTATCTAAGTCTTGAATGAAGAAATTCTACCCGTTGGTAAGGAAAAATCAATCTCTTGATTTTCAACGGCTAAATTGAAGATAATTATGCTGATTCAAGAACAAATGACTCGAAGACAAAGTCTGAACCTCTAAGAATTGAAGAACCTGTCCAGAATTCCTAAACAAGCACTAGAAGACAAACAGCGTAAAGTTCTACAGTCCAGAATACTTGAACAACAGCTAGAAGACGGACTCTATGGAAAAAGGAATCTCTCCTTTAACAAATGGGTATGTCCAAACACCCATTCCAATGAGGAATCTTCAAATCACAATCTTCATTCAAAATTGAAGCCAGCAAATGCAACAGATAGTCTATTATGATTCAACGAATAGATTATCCAATCCAGCTATAAATAGCATCCTTGGAAGACTGGAGAAGACACAATGAGATACAACAACACAACGAAGCAATCTCTAACAACAAAGCTATCTCATTCACAGTTAGCCCAAAAAGCTTGATAAAGAGAGATTTCTAAACTCCTTATCTAGAAGCAAACTTCTCCCCCTTCCAAAGAGCTATAGTGTAAACACTTGAAGGTTTCCTTGCCTCAAGCACCACACCACGTTGAAGGATATTACTTTTGATCAAACTTGTTGATTAAAAGGGGGTAGGTCAACTCTCTTACAAGTTGATCTTGCAAGTCCTATTGTTCGGACCTTGCAGTTGTTGAAGAAGCTTGACCTTCGAAGGAACAACAAAGCCAGCACGAGTGCAGTAGCAACATTGGTCTTGTGAAGATATACCGTGCAAAAATTCACACAAGTGTAATTGTTGGTTCATTATTCAACAACCAACTACATAGTAGATTTTGAGGACGTAGAAGGATTACCCCACCTTCGAACCTCGTTAAAGTTTGTGTGTCTCTCTCTTTTATCTTTATTCTTACTTGCAATTATATTAACTGTGAAAACTAACCCATCCATATTGATTACTGCTCACTCTACCCACCAAATTCCGCACACAATCTAAAGTTCACAAGGACTCTAGATTAACACTCATTTTCACGTTTTCAAAAGAAACGAAAAAGATTTTAAATCTGTAACAAAGTCTATTCACCCCCCCTCTAGACTTTGTATTTCACCACTTTGGGACCACCAATTGGTATCAGAGCGTACTTCTCACTATCTACGTTTAGATTAACGAGAAGCGATCATAATGGTGAACAATATGGATCACGGTTTGCCCAAGTTTTCTCTCTTAGGTTATGATGATTGGAAGATCATGATGGAAGCACATCTCTACGCTCTACATGACTGCATGTGGATGGTGCTTGAGGATGGACCCTTGAAAATCCAAATGGAGAATCCTGAGAGGAATCCAGCAACTCC